CCCCAAAACCCCAAAACCCCAAAACCCCTGGATCTAATAAATATAGAATATAGAGTATAGTAAGTCTGAAGATCACTAAAATTCAAATGATGCCAAAACCGAACAAAGAACTCCTGCTTTTATATTCCTATTTCCCTTAATCTTCCGCAAGCCAGTTCTCATTAATCCATATTAATGCCATATATGAGCTTCATTTCTCATAATTCCAAACAGAGTATTCTCACTATGTAGACTATTGTGCTTAGCTCTATTCAAAGGACAATGGAGCTTCTCTATCATAAAACAGTCTGTCTAAGGCGCTGACTTAACTGTTATTGTTTTGATATCTTAACTGTGATGGCCATATAGGCATAGATTAATGGGAAGTTTCAATTATCAACACAAGCTTAATCGAACTCCCAAAATATATTAGAACCCACCAAGTGTCAAATGTGGAGAAGTGATTCATTTTAACAAAATAAGGTCAAAGAGAAAACTAACAAAAATTATTTTCCACCAATTATTTTAACTCCTCCAAGTCGGTTTTCTTCAAAAGTTTGCTCAACTTCATCCTGGTTTACTTCACAGTGTGTGATATTTACCTCTTTGAGACTCAACCTTAAATCTGGAGAACTTGCTAATCCTTGGACCAAGTTCTTGAACTCGTTGAAGTTGTCCCCCCAGTCACTATTATAAGACCTTCGGGATCTATATAAATCTAGTTCCTGGATTTGACAGTTAGAAAGAGCCTTTGAAAAATCAGGAACACTTGGAATTGATAGCCTGCAATCCCACAATCTTAACCCTCCGACATGTTTGTAGGCTGCCACCAGCCTCTTCAGGGAGGAGAGGCCGATGCAGAAAGATTCAAATGAAACTATTTGGAGGACTTTAGAACTGATCCTGAGCAAGAAATTTAAGTAATTGGACCTCTTCAGATCCATTTTATTAGAGGAGTAAAAATAGAGAAAATTAGTTTTATTTGGGAGTGAGAATTCTAAGAAATCTCTAAAATGCCTATTTTTAGACTTCACTCTAACAAACCTAATCAAGTTTAAATCAAAGAACTTGAGATTTTTGAAATTTTGGGCAGGCTTCACACCTCCAAGATCGCTGAAATCAATGAGAAGTTGGCTATTTTCTGGAATTTCTCCAGAGTCTGAATCCAATGGCTGAATTTCTCTTTGCTCTGGAAAAATCTTATAGAGGATGCTCTGGCATCTGGCGATATCTTGTTTCTTTGTTTCTTCCAGAACAGACTTCTCTAGACTGCACAATTAGAGATAGACGAGTAGAGGGATCCATGTCAGAATCCGTCAGAAAGTTGGAGTTGGATTAATTATAATAGAAGTTAACAATTTTGAATCAGAGGTTAACATTTTGGAACCTGCGACAAAATAAGGGATGAAATTTTAGAATGCTCTAAAACTAAGCTCTTTATTACCTGATTATCTCGGTGTTCTCCTCTTGAATAGCTTTGGGCATACTTTCCATTTATGATTATTTTATTTTCAATATTTATTCAGAGGTGTGGGGTTTTGGGGTTTTGGGGTTTTGGGGTTTTGGGG